CCTGATTCCCCGTTACCCATGGTCACTATGGTAGGCACAGGAAGTACCACTGAAAGTTGAGAGGGCAGACATTCGAATGCATCATCGCCGCCATGGGGCGTGCGATCGGCCTGAGGTTATCTAAAGTCACCAAAGTGGCCGGACAAGCCCGGGGTGGTTTTGGTCTGATAAATGCATGCATCCCTGGAGGTCAGAACTCGTCAGCATGTATTAGCTCTAGGATTACCACAGTAATCCAAGTAAGGGTTAGAGCGACCAAGGGAACCATAACTGATTTAATGAGCCATTCGCAGTTTCACTGTACCCGCCATGTTTACTTATACATGCATGGCTTAATCTTTGAGACAAGCATATGCTACTGACAGGATCAACCAGGTAGCCACGATCCGGAAAGGAGAAGCAGGGGCCACGCAACAAGGACTGGAGGCACCCCCGCCCAGCGGGCCCCACCGGCCTTGGAAAATTTTTCGGACTCAGAAAAAAAATTTTCAGCCCGCTTCCTCCAGGTTCACATGGTGGCCGAGCGGGGACTTGGAAAACTTCTCGGACTTGGCAAATATTTTTCAGACTCGGCAAAAAATGTTCAGCCTGCTTCCTCTGGGTTCACCTGGTGGCCGAAGTGGGGACTTGGAAAATTGTTCAGACATGGCAAACAATTTTCAGCCCGCTTCCTCTGGCTTCACCTGGAGTCCGAGCAGGAACATGTAAAATTTTTCAGTCTCATCAACAATATTTCAGTCCGCTTCATCGGGGTTGACATGGTGGATGAGCGGGGACTTAGAAAATGTATCGGACTCAGCAAAAATTTCTCAGACCGCTTCCTCCTGTTTGACATGGTGGCTGAGCGAGGACTCGGAAAATTTTTCAGACCTGGAAAAACATGACGTAGCAGAGAACAGACATGGATCCCTGGCACCGTCTGGAGGAGTACAGAGCCGTAAATCCCTGTGTTTAGCCCCATATTGCCAGGGAGGTGGTGCAGGTGTGGACCATGCACCTTCCAAAGACAGGCCCCTCCCGGCACATCAGCAAGTCTCCGCTCGGCCACCACGTCAACCCGGAGGAAGAGGGGTTAAAAATTATTGCCAAGTCCAAAAAATTTTCCAAGTCCCCGCTCGGCCACCAGGTGAACCTGGAGGAAGCAAATTGAAAATATTTTGCTGAGTCTGAAAAATTTTTGCCGAGTCCAAAATATTTTCCAAGTCCCCGCTCGGCCATCCGGTCAACCCATAGGAAGCATGATGAAAAATATTGGAGAGTCCAAAATATTTTTGCTAAGTCCAAAAAATTTTGCAAGTCCACACTCAGCCACCAGGTCAACCAGTATGAAGTGGCCTAAAATACTTTTGCCGAGTCCGAAACATTTTCCAAGTCCCCGCTCGGCCCCCAGGTCAACCCAGAGGAAGCGGGCTGAAAAAATTTGCCGAGTCCGAAAAATTTTCCAATCCCCTGCTCAGCCACAAGGTCATCACGGAGGAAGAAGGCTGTGAAGGACATAAATCCACACCGTGTAGAGGTCAAAGCATAGGGGTTTATTACACACAGCGCTGGCGGAGTGTCACCTGGCTTATTAGGCTCAGAGACACTGTCAATTAATTGATTACAATGAAATATATAGATTTTCCATGGGCGGGGGAAAGTGACGGGGTAGGCAGTTCCACACCCCGGGATAGGTTTTGCAGCAAGACAAGATA